TCTTTAAAAAAGTACGGAAGGTAATGACCATCATCTACTTTTAATCTATCAAAAGCCATCTTGAACTTTAAAGCCGATTCCAACATTAAAAATGTGGAATTCCATCTAGTAGGGACATCCAAAATCACAAGCCCTTTGCTCTCTATTCTCACTTTCTCAACACACCTTTTAAAGCTTTCCAACCTTTGAGGTGAAGATCTTACGTATCTAACCGCATTACGAATGCTTTGTATAGCCGTATTCAACAATTTTATCCCATCATTCACAACCAAATTGAGGATATGAGCAACACACCTCATATGCAAATATTTTCCATCATGCAAGAGTGCATTAGGAATCCCCCACCCACTTATTCGGTGCACCAAGTCCCTTAAACCGGAATCATTTGCGGAAGCATTGTCAACCGTAATGGTTAACACCTTCTCTATACCCCACTCCACTAAACATTCCTCCAAAAGTTGAGCGATGGATTCTCTTTTATGATTTGGAATAACACAAAAATTCAAAATCTTTTTATGTAACATCCAATCATCATCAATAAAATGGGCGGTGAGAACCATATAATTGGTTTGTTGAATAAAAGTCCATGTGTCCGTTGTTAGACACACCCTAAATGTCTTCAATTGACTCTTCAATTTATCCTTTTCGGAATAAAACAAGCTAAGTACATCCTTAGCAATTGTCTTACGACTAGGCACTCTCCACATAGGACATGCTTGCATGCAAAAAGGGCGAAAACCTTCTCCTTCAACAAAAGTAAAAGGCAACTCATCTATAATTATCATCTCAACACAAGCCTTAGTTACTTCCTCTTGAGAAAAACCTATAGCTTCCAACTTATCTTTCGTGCTAGCAAAGGTTAAGATCTTTTGCCTATTTGTGGCAAATATTTCCTTATTAGGACTGTAGCTTCTACATCTTACTATATGGTTTCTTAAATTAGTTGTACCATTTTTATCTGGGTCGGCCATATATGATTGAGCGCAATACTTGCACAACCCCTTAACTCTACCACCCTCAATTTTTCTTTCAAAGTGCTCCCAAACTTTAGACCTTTCATGACTTTTTAATGATTCCAAAAGAGCTTCTTCTTTACTTACTTGGTCATTTTGGTCACCTTCTTTTGGAGTTGCATCGGCGGGATTTCCGGATCCACCAAGAGAACTAGGAGTTTGTCGAGGTGCCACCATGGTGTTTGGAGGCGGAGTTGATTCACCAATGTCCATCTAAAATAAGAGAATCATACAATTAATTTTTCAAATAAGAGATTCATTACAATTAATGAATTAATTATTAAACACAAGGGCAAAAGTAATAGAAAGATATGACTACTTACTTCCGATGGTATACTCGAAGATGAGTTTGTTTGATCATGAGGGCTATTTGATTTTGATCTCATTGAGTTTGAACTTGAGCTTGAGGCCCTTGAGATCTTTGACGCCTTTGCGTTCATCTAATTCACACAAAACAATAAGAGGATAGTAGTTAGTACTACAAACTTATACAAAAGTAAATGTTAATCAAAACTAGCAAGCACATTATTAAATTTAAGTCATAAACAATGTTTTCGTACTATTCATCTAAGACACTATATCGTTTGGCCATGAATCCGACTCTCAGAAGAACTAGGCTGTCCCATGTGACATGTGCCTCCATCCTGCCCAATTCAAACATTACCGATTACCCCATCTTTGGGTTCGAGCTAAATCTTTATGCAAATATATCTTGAGAAGATGCAATTTCAAAAATGACGGACTTCAAACTTTTCTGTAGGCAATCAGGGTTGAGAAACCCAGTTGGCCTTGTGGAATTGATAATTTGATAGTGTAATGATCAAGTTGTCTGTCCTATAGAGTATATCATACACCTCAAACTATTCGTCTTTCTCCTTGAGGTTTTGTTACTCAAACAACCAATGAACTCATGAGATACACACAAAGTTATTTACAAACACTTCAAAACAAACTTTTGCTTTGAAGAGAGAATATATGTGTTCCTAAGGGTGCAAGAAATGAATCAAATGGTAGAGAGAAGGGTGGTTCCAATTATCGTGCGAAGCACATGGAATTATGCATGCTACTGCTTCATTCGCGGCTCACACGGTTTTATGAAACCCCAAGACCTAACCTTTTGCCAACTAATCCTCCCTGCCTATTGAGTCTTGACCAAACCCAAAAACTAAAGGAGAAAAAAAAAAGAAAAAGAAAAAAGAAAAAGGATACATACTCTTTTTGAATGAATGTCGACCAGCTCATTAAACAACACATGGACCACCTCTAAAGTCAATGTTATCAACTGCTACAATTGTTTGTAAATACCATATTAGCCTCTTGAGATGTGCTTACGTAAGTGTTAGAATAATTGGGCAGAGTTAAGAGAACTGTCATATACTTATACACGTATGTCTTAAATACACAAAGCGAGTGAGAAAGGAAAAACTAGTCTCACTGTCACGCACTCATACGAGTCATATGGATGTCCCATAGAGGCGGAACAAAAAGGAGCCTGAACCTTTCATGATTTCCGAACAACCTGAACCTGAACCTTTCATAACTTGACCTAACAACCTGAACCTAAACCTTTCATAATTTAACGATGCCAAGTCTTGAAATGACCCAACAACCTGAACCTTTCATAACTTGACCTAGATCTTTGGCAAAAGGCATGACATGTTACCAAAACAAACACTTTATGATACAAATCTGATCAGCAGAAGAACTCACACAGCTTATACGTTTCAAAACCAATTTTCTTTCAGGAGAACCAAAAGAAGGAACTTTCAACAAGGTGCATCCAATTAACCAAACAAAACTTGTAAAGCTTTACAAGCATATCTTAGCCTACAGACAATTCAAATGATGAACATAATAAAAATCCTTACTTTAGTTACAATTTTACAAAATTAGGGTCTTTCCTTCAAAATTAGATTTTATTAGCATTCAAATTAGGGTCTATTTTCATAATTTCAAGCAATTGGATCTTTTCCCTCTTTGTTCTTTGGATTAAAATTTCACCAAAATTCAATACAATCATGTATTTAAAAAAAATGGAAGAAAAGCCCTAATTTTAAACAAATTGAATGAAGACATGAATTGGGGGAAACAGATGGGTTTCAATCGAAGTTTTCAAACAAGAAATAATAGAGAATTTTTGAAGCACCTAAGTCACTTCTAATGATAACTCGCCCGACGCCCACTGCCAATTGTTGATGAGAGTGCTCTGACCTGTTTAAGACTCGAGCTTTAGAGGTTTGGTTTGAATGTAGAGCAGAAAATAAAACATGAGAGTCACTAACCTTTTGCTATGAGTGAGAATGGTCACCACCGCTGGCGCTAGCTGGGAATGAGAATGGTCATAGCGAGAGCTTGAGAGAGGATGAATTAGGAATGAGAATGGTCACAGTGAGAGCTTGAGCCTTGAGAGAGAATGAGATTGACAGAGTCTGAGAGAGAGATGAGGCTGAGAGAGGATGAAGAAGACCGAGAGCGGAGAGACTGAGAGCCTTGGGAAAACAGGCGAGACCGAGAGCGGAGAGACTGAGAGAGGATGAAGGAGACCCTAGGTTTAGGTTACACTCGAGGTAAAACGGTGGCGTTTTAGAATTAAGATTGTTAATTAATAAAATAGCATAAAACGATGTCGTTTTGAAGACTTCGGTTCGGTTCGGTTCCCGAACCCCAAAAATCGAAACCGAACCAGACATTATTCGGTTCGGTTCGGTTCAACAGATTCAGTTTGATTTTTTTTTTGTTCGGTTTTTTCGGCCTCGGTCCGGTTTTCAGTCCGGTTTTTTTCGGTTTTCGGTTTTTCCAACCCACCCCTAGTAGCTCCTTCACTTTGGCAAGTGGCAAGGAGAGCACCTTCTATGTTTCTTGTGGTTTGTGTGGTTAGACAAAGGACCACAGAAGGAAGCTCGACCTTTGTTTCTCATGGTTCTTTGATGATTCATAGCATGGCTTTTTTGTCGATTGTTACAGGATCATCAGAAAGTGGTGAGACCATTTCCCTCGTGCGGTGCACTCTCAGTGGTCTTTGACTTGCAAGGTTTAGTCCTCGTAAGACCAACTCCAATTGTTGGGGTTAAGGCTTAAAAATTTAAGCTAGAAAATTGTAAGCCATGATAAACTAGAAATTGTTTTGTCTCCTCCAATGGTTATGGCTTAAAATTTTAGCCCGAGATTATTACATAATGATTTTCATCTAATTTTTTCTGGTAACTTTAAAAAAAAAAAAAAAGATTTATATAGACTATCCTAATTTTTTTTCATGAACATTTTTACCTAAAAATTTAAATTCCGATAAATAATGGAAAATCAAACAACATACCCCATTCTTAAACCCAAATCCATAATTCAATCTTACAACAAATACTAATACAAACGAAAATTAAAACACTACATAAAAATTAAAACACGATAATTAAAACAATAGACATTAGTACATAAAAATTACAAAAATTAGGTACATGATCTTTTGGAATCTTGAAAAATTTAGGATAGGGAAGAAATAGTTTTGAAAGTGGATAGAAAGAAAAATGGGAAGAATTATGTGAGAAAAGTGAATTTCTTGTCGATGTTTGAACAAAACATAAGTATTTATAGAGTTTTTGATGAAATTGATTTACCAGTATAACTTTTTTTTTAAATTGTTATAGCCGTTGGATTTAGTTTTGAATTGTCAAATATTTTTTTTTGCCGTTAGATTTAATCTCATTTAATTACAATAGTTGTATTCTAAGTAAAAAAAAAAGTTTGAAATATGACCTTTGGATAAACCTTTCTAGCCCCATCAACTCACAAAAGAACCATTGCTAGTGGCAGACAACTCTGTCCACATGGACTCCGCCATGTTCTGTTTGGCGTGTGGCGAGTTGGTCTGGGTTTTGGGCTTCAGTTGACAGCCCACACACGCTGGAGATGATTTGGTTGGTCCAGAAAGAATGAAGCCAAATTTTTAGGGAAATCTAGGTTTAATGAGTTTGGCGACGGCACTGATTTAGGTGGAGGCGATGGCAAAGGTAACATAGTACAGTAATAGTATGCACAACATTACATGTATACGAAACAAACAGAGGTGTAATAAGACCACTCAATGATCTCTGTCTTTGTGAATCCGCAGGAGCTTTTCAACCACTTGGGTCATGGTAGGTCTTGCATTTTTGTCTTCCTCTACACATTGCAAAGCTACTTCCAACAGAATCTCCATCTTCCTCGCATCATAATTCTCTCCAAATGAAGGGTCTACGATCTCTCCTATCCTTGATCCAATCCCACCACTTCCATCAACCCTCTCCCTCACCCAATTAATCAGTCCTCTCTGCTCACCCTCAACGCCACCAACGCCAATGGTAGGGTTCTTCCCAGTCACCATCTCCAACACGACAATCCCATAGCTGTAAACATCCACTTTCGACGTAATCGGCTGGTTGTACACCCACTCCGGTGCAATGTATCCTCTCGTTCCTCGTATCCTCGAAATGCTCGAGTTTTCAAGGCCGCCCCTGTTGATTAGCTTGGAGAGTCCAAAATCTGCAACCTTTGGTTGGTAATCTGAGTCCAAGAGAATGTTTTGAGGCTTAACATCACAGTGCAAAACCCACTCCAAACACTCTTCGTGCAGATAAGCAAGGCCTTTCGCAGTCCCGACAGCAATCTCAAACCTCTTCTCCCAATCGAGAGCATTGGAAGATAACTTATCAGCCAAGGAACCATGCTCCATGTACTCGTAAACGAGAAGCTTGTGCTTTTTCTCTGAGCAATATCCCCACATCTCAATCAAGTGCATATGGTTCAGCCTCCCAATTGTGTTAGCTTCACCTAGAAATTCAGCTTCTCCTTGATCAGCCTCGCTAAGAAGCTTAATCGCTGCAACTCTTTGATCAGCCAATACGCCTTTGTACACGATTCCTCCAGCCCCTCTTCCAATCTCTTCACTAAAGCCCCGTGTTGCCTTCTTGAGCTCGGCAAAGCTAAATCTTTTGAACCCTGTTCCAGCAAGAACATATCCCTGCATATCCTCGTTGGAATTTCGCCGAGTAGTATTGCTTAACAATCCCCAAACCAAAAGGATACAAATGATCTCAAACCCGCCAACTCCAATGGCAAACCAGAGCAGGAATTTCACTGAACTAGCCACACTGCTTTTCACATAATTTCTATTTAGACCAACAACTCTGCTTAAGCAGCTTAACCTATACTCTTCCTGGGGCTTTTGATAATACGAAACATGGGTTTTCGGCACTCTCAAATACAGGTCCCCAAAAAAGCTAGGGGACCTGTATCCATTGAGCAATACCGTCTTGGGGTAACAGCTAAACATCGGTCTGTTAGGGATGCGAGAGTATTGGAACCCTTTGCAGTTACATAGTTTCAAGCATAAATTCTCACAATCCGTATAGGTGTAGTTTTCAAAGTAACCGTAATCATACCCGAAAAACTCAAGCTTTGAAAGTTTAAAGAAAGTTGACTCACCTTTGTTGCAAGTGTAATTAAATTGAGGCTCACAACCATAGTACCAATCAGTATGATTTTTCATCTTGTAACCCGGAATACAAGAGCACTTTCTACCATGAAATGGATCATAGCTGCAGACGCTGTTAACTCCACAAACGCCGTGAATTTTACATGGATCGGAGAAGACTTGCGCTGAAATGCTCCATTTGTCTCCAGGCTTTTCCCGACTATACAATCGAACATTTCCATCAGAATCAACCGTCAATCTTCTCTGCAATCCTGCACCATAATCAGCTGCCATTAACGTGAAATTATCAGACGAAGTAAAGTTGCCTAACGAATCAAGCACTGCAGTTCTGCTGCTGTTATCCGTGGACCTTCCAGCACTCTGGCCTGTAAGCCATGGCTCAAACCAATAGACGCTTGAAATCTCAACACCATCAAAAAGTAGACGCAGAAGGTTGTCATTGTCAAAGAAAAGCTTGTAGAAGCCAGAGGAGAAGTTGCTCTGGCTTCTCATGGAGACAATCATTGTGTTTCGGGTGAGCGGTTGATGTGGAAGAAGGGTGTCGGTTGGAAAATCAAAGCTCTGCCATAAAACGACACGATCAAGGTTTAGTAAAACCAGATTGCCTGAGTTCTGGAGGGACAAGTGAGCTGGCGAGAGTGAAGTAGTGGTTGTTGCCCAAACAATAGACTGTCCGGCATCGGTCAAGATGAGATTGCCAGAACTTTGGAGTGAGAGCTTTGAGTATTTCCCGTTCACCGGTTGGTCGCGATTCGCCATCCAAACAACCGTGCGGTTTTGGTAGTGAGTGGAAGAAGGCTCGGTGAACCAAATGGCGAAGCAAAACGAGTTGTTGCCAACTTGGTGAAAGCCGGCAGTGAAAACCCCATCCGGTGAGATTAAGACATCATTGGATTTCTCCGCGGAGAGGGATGAGCCTCTACGCAAAGTGTCCGATGCTGAAGACGAAGGAAGGGGACTAATGGCTAGAGAAAGAAGAAAAATGAGAAACAAGGTGTCCATGTGACCAATGAATGAATCCAACATTGAGAGTTGCAGTGCTTAATAAACCAGCCCTACAACAAATGGTATTATTGCTATGTAGGACCACAGGCAACAAAGATTTCTGCTTCCAATAATTGACCAAGACTAATATGGTTTTCTGTTTCCACTCTTACTTATGGTGGTAAAAAGGAGTTTCTAATAACTCGAATGATTGGAAACGGAACTCAAGTGTGTGAACTATGTCAAGGCCGCCATATATTTTATTTGAGCAAGGGACTATGTCAAGGCGGCCATATATTTAATTTGAGCAAGGGACTATGTCAAGGCGGCCATATATTTTATTTGAGCAAGGGACTGGGGGCGTTCTATCAGGGGCTAGATTTCCTCAAACTACTTTGAGCAAGAGTAGGTAGGCTGCTTTACTGCTGTAGTAGTTAGATAACCTGGCCATGGATTGTAGTTCCGCACCAAGAGATGGTATCATTGCTATGCTGAGGAAAATTGGACTCACAAAATTATATTTCGTCTTCAAGTCTTAAGATTTTTTTAAATCATCGTTTAAATGGTCCAAAATTTCTCAATGATTTCATCATTTCCGCCATTAGGATTTTCTCAATGGAGAACAGGAGAATTGAGCAATTCCTGCTAGGGAAGTTGCGTACCCATCGTAAATTTGTGTTTTTCTACCATGATAAAACCTGTTTTCAAGACATTATCTGGTAGAAATTTGAGAGAGTGAAGTTGAGCAAGCGTTAGAAAATCGATATGACAAGCAAACATGGCAGAAACTAAACTACCAGTCAAAGGAAATAATACTGAAATTATATGTGCTACTGAGTCAAGCAAGCAACCTCACAAGACATAACTACCTAACAATCTTTGTCAAGGTGTAAAAGCATCTCAACAACTTGTCTCATGGTTGGTCTGGCATCCTTGTCTTCCTCCACACAATGTAAAGCAACTTTCAGAAGAACTTCTACCTTCTCCACATTGTATTCACCTTCAAACGAAGAGTCTATGATCTCTTCTATCTGTGGTTTGATAGAGCTAGTTCCATTTACCTTCTCCCTCATCCACGAGATCAGTCTTCGCTGCTCACCATCAAAGGCATCCCCTCCCATCATAGGGTTCTTTCCTGTCACCATCTCCAACACAACAATCCCATAACTATACACATCCACTTTTGATGTGATAGGCAGATTGTACACCCACTCTGGCGCAATGTAGCCTCTGGTTCCTCTTATCCTTGAAAAGCTTGAGTTCTTAAGCTCGCCTCTGTTAAATAGCTTGGAAAGTCCAAAATCTGCAACTTTTGGTTGGTAGTTTGAGTCCAAGAGTATGTTTTGAGGCTTAACATCACAATGCAAAACCCACTCCAAGCACTCCTCGTGCAGATAAGCAAGGCCTTTCGCAGTGCCCACAGCAATCTCGAACCTCTTCTCCCAATCAAGCACATTCGAAGACAAATTTTGGGCCAAAGAACCGTGCTCCATGTACTCGTAAACAAGAAGCTTGTGCTTTCCCTCTGAACAATATCCCCACATTTCTATCAAGTGCATATGGTTCAGCCTCCCGAGCGTGCTAACTTCAGCTAGAAACTCAGCTTCTCCTTGAATAGCTTCATAAAGAAGCTTAACCGCTGCAACTCGTTCGTCATCCAATACACCTTTGTACACAAATCCACCTGCACCTCTTCCAATTTCTTCACTAAAACCCCGAGTTGCCTTCTTGAGCTCGGCGTAGCTAAACCTTTTGAACCCGGTTGCAGCAAGAAGGTACCCTTGTTGCATATCCTCATTGGAATTTTTCCGGGTTCTACTATTTAACAAACACAAAAACAAAAGAAGACAAACGATCTCAAACCCTCCCACTCCACAAGCAAACCAAAGCAGGAACTTCACTGGCTTACTAACATGGTTTTTCACATAATTTCTGTTGAGATCAATGACTCTGTCTGTACATATAAGCCCGTAGTCTTTTGGAGCCTTTATACCAGAGCCATTCGAGAGGAGGAAGGCTTTAGGCAGTCTCAGATAGAGGTACCCTTGAGAATCCGACATGTGCCCACTTCGCAATTGCGTCTTGGGATTACAGTTATAAAAACCATTTCCACGGTCAAATGTATACTGAAACCCCTTGCAGTTATCCAGTTTCAAGCATATGCTCTCACACTCCATGTAACTGTAATTCGTGTAGGAGTTGAAATCATAACCATTGAACTCAACTTGTGAAAGTTTGAGGAAGCTAGACTCATTACCTTCCGTGTAAGAGAGATTGAATTGAGGTTCGCACCCGAAAGACCAATCAGTGTGATTTCTCATCTGATACCCTGGAAGGCACAAGCATTTCCTACCAAAACCGCGGTCATAGCTACACACGCTGTTTGCTCCACAAGTCCCATGAACCTTGCATGGATCCGAAATGGCCTGCCATGAAACCACCCATTTTTCCCCCGCCCTTTCGCGACTATACAATCGAACATTTCCATCAAAATCAATCCTCAACATCCTCTGCAACCTCGCACCGTAATCTGTTGACATAAAAGTTAAGTTGTCCGACGAGACAAAACTGCCTAAAGAATCGAGCATGGCTGTTCTGGTGTTGTTGTAGGTGGACCTTTCATTGTCCCAGCTCACGCGAGAAGGGTCGGGCCAGTAGACACTGGAGACCTCGAGACCGTCAAAAAGTAGACGGAGGAGGTTGTCATTGTCGAAGAAGAGCTTGTAGAAGCCGGAGGAGGAATTGCTCTGGCTTCTTGTGGAGACAAGCATTGCATTCCTGGTGAAGGGTTGGAGCGGAAGAAGGGTGTCGGTCGGAGAATCAAAGCTCTGCCACAAAACGACATGATCATCGGAGTTTTGTAAAATCAGGTTGCCGGAGGTGTGGAGTGTTAAATGAGCCGGTGAGAGTGATGTGGTGGTTGTGGCCCAAACGATGGACTGACCAGCATCAGTTAAGATGAGGTTACCGGTTTTGAGGAGGGATAGCTTTGAGCGTTTTCCATTGACTGGACGGTCGCGATTGGCTGTCCAGACAACGGTGGGGTTTTGGTGGCGATCGGAGGATGGTGAAGGCTCGGAGAACCAAATGGCAAAGCAATATGAATTGTTGCCAACTTGGTGAAAGCCGGCGTTGAAAACTCCATCAGGTGAAATTAGAACATCTTCTAGTTTCTCGACAGAGAGGGAGGAAGCTCTACTCAGAGTGTCGGGGGTTGAAGACGAAGGTGGAGAATAAATGGCGAGAGAGAGAAGAAAAATGAGAAACAGAGTGGCCATGTGAGGTGAGAGGGGGCAATGGGATTGGCTGCAGATAGCTGAACTAAATTAAGAGAACATGGTCATGAACTGTACGTATGTAGTTGTAGGACCACACCCGCATCAATTGGGTTGATGGAGACCAAAGTTAGAAAAACTGGACATTTTTTATGTATATCAAACTACCGCACTAAATACGATTCATTATTAAAAGAGAAAATTGAAGTAAAGATGTCCGATCGTGTTATTCGTAGGGCGACAAACAAATCTTGATCGTTGAGAATTTGCAAGACTCAAGCAACACGGTTTCCAATTGGATGATCGGAGGCCAAAGACCCATTGCCCGTGATAAGTCTATATTATATCATATATTTTACCCTAATCTTAGTATTAATTTATTAGTTATTTTGGTAGAATTTTGATCCTTTGTTATATATTTTTAATGTAAAACATTCGACTTTCTCTGCAGCAAAAAGTATTCGAACATATGAATTTTGGAGTGATTCCAATTGGAGGATGCTCATGAGTCTTTCAAGATGATTGTATCAAAATTCTAGATTTTTCTACCAAGCCGTATGACCGTGGCGATGAAATAAAGGCCCAGCGCGCAGTTTTTTCAGATTGACGTTTCTAGACATTTTGAGTATTTTGGAGGTCAAGATGGCATATTTTGAGGAAGATTCCTTTTGATGATTTGTAGAAGACGTCTTCAGCTTTCAAAAGAGACATTTTGGGACCAAATTGGAGTTGATTTGGTTAGTTAAAAGTATGATTTTCTGAAAACTCCGAATTCTAGTTCAAATAGGAAATATTTTATTTTCTGTTTTATCATTTAATTATGTTTCCTAGTTTTATTCTAAGACCTTTTGCTAGGAGGATTTTAATTAGAGCAGTATAAATAAGACTTGTTAGCCATTAGGGTTCTCTACGCAACATTGGAGGGGAGAGCACAATACTTTGGCTTTGGAGAGCTTTTAATGATTCAAGTTTATTTTCAAGGTGTTTTCTATCTATATTCTTAATAATATTTTGTTTTATGGTTGTTAGTAACTAGTTTTGTTTGCTAGGGCAATGCCTTGAACCTTAGCATGAATATGTAGTTTTTATTTAATTGCTTAAGATATTATGCATGCATGCCATGAATTATTAATCACTATGTTTTAAACTGTCTCTAGATCTTACTACTTAGCTACCATTATGATGTTTAGATAAGTAATCGGATGCAATTCGGTCAGAATACCACCGGGGGATTGAGTATTGTTTCTTGTGGTTGATAGTTGTAATTTCACCTAGGATGAATACTATGTCTTAGGGGTTGCATGGTTTTCAAAGGGTTTTCACAAAGTGTAATGAGTCATGCATGTTTATATTTGATCTGAATACCATAGACAGATTACATGTTTGATATATGTTCTAGCTTGAATACCACGAGTAGAATATGCATTAGGAAAACCTAACCTTCAAAGTTGCATGGGTAATTCATAAGTAATTGGTAAAACAACATAGGATTGTTAAGGAAACGATGAAACCTAGGCTTTTACAATTTGGCAATTTCTTGATAGGATTAAGGAAAGTAAAGAAAACAAAAGAAAACGTTTTGAAAACCAAATTGTAAAAGCCTAGGGTTCTGCCGTCCCCTTAACAATCCTATGTAGATTTATCAATTACTTATGAATTACCCATACAACTTTGAAGGTTAGGTTTTCCTAATGCATATTCTACTCGTGGTATTCAAGCAAGCTAGAACGTATATCAAACATGCAATATGTCTGTGATATTTAGATCAAATATAAATATGCATGACTCATTACACTTTGTGAAAACCCTTTGAAAAATCATGCAACCCCTAAGATGTGGTATTCATCCTAGGTGAAATTACAACTATCAACCACAAGAAGCAATACTCAATCCCCCGGTGGTATTCCGACCGAATTGCATCTGATTACTTATCTAAACATTAAGATATAGAGACAGTTTAAAACATAGTGATTAATAACTCAACGCACGCATGCATAATATCATAAGCAATTAAATAAAAACTACATACGCATGCTAAGGCTCAAGGCATTGCCCTAACAACCATAAAACAAAATATTATTAAGAATATGGATAGAAAACATCTTAAAAATAAACTTGAATCGTTAAAAGCTCTCCAAAGCCAAAGTATTGCGTTCTCCCCCAATGTTGCGTAGAGAAACCTAATGGCTAAGAAGTCTTATTTATACTACTCTAATTAAAATCCTCCTAGCAAAGGGTCTTAGAATAAAACTAGGAAACATAATTAAATGATAAAACAGAAAATAAAAGGTTTCCTATTTGAACTAGAATTCAGAGTTATCAGAAAATTACACTTTTGACCAACCAAATCAACTCCGATTTGGTCCCAAAATGTCTCTTTTGAAAGCTGAAGACGTCTTCTACAAATCATCAGAAGGAATCTTCCTCGAAATATACCATCTTAACCTCCAAAATACTCAAAATGTCTAGAAACATCAATCTGGGAAAGCTGCGGCTGGGCCTTTATTTCATCGCCACGGTCAAACGGCTTGGTAGAAAAATCTGGAATTTTGATATCATCTTGAAAGACTCACGAATATCCTCCAATTATAATCCCTCCAAAATTCATCGTTTGAATACTTTTTGCTTTAGAGGAAGTCGAATGTCCTACATTGAAAATATATAACAAAGTATCAAAATTCTACTAAAATAACTAATAAATTAATACTAAAATTAGAATAAAATATATAGTATAATATGGATTCATTAGCCTGCTTAAGGTTCTGCATCTTAGGGTTCAGGTAGCAACTTGTGGACCGTCACAATCTCACAAGATGTGACACGATTGAAAGGACAACGAGAGGCGGCTGCTGCAGAAAGAATAGGGCATTTACATGTTGGTCCTACTTAACTTTACATTAGTCTCATCTAATGTGGAAGTTGCCTGATCGTGCAGTCAACCGAAATTTATCCTTTTATGTTCCAAATTTTCAAGCAGAATTTCATCTTCATGTGAAGACATCGTTGGAAATTCAAGACAGCAATTTTGAAGAAATTATCTGCATCCACTGCTTGTGTGTGAGTGCAGATGACGGTATTGAATTAAAAAATTAACTCAATTATTTGATGTGTGAAATGAAAATTTTCCACCCTTCATTATCATGGAGGTGCTAGAAAATTAGACCTACCCAAACGGATCAGCACGGTTGCAAAATTTGACAAGAACGCCGAAGTATCGAATCCCCCAGGTAACAAACCATGATCCCTTGGCCCTCCCCCACATTAGCAGCAAGCCAATGTTGTAACTAGATTAATCACAAAAGATACAACCCCGAGGCGTAGGGCCGCAGACATTTATAAGGCATCGGCCATGTTCTAACTAGATATTTTACATGATAATATGTGCACCCAGAACACATTAAGTTTCAACGGCTGTTCAAGCCAATGAAATATTCAAAATGGTACCGAGACATCATCAACCTCTGCTCTTCCGCGGTGTTGTGTACAAAAATGTTGCAAGTGTGCCTGCGCTTAGACATCTGTTTTGTTGGTGCTGGTTTCAATATCGTCTGGTACATAATAGGGAGAAAGGAAAAACGCACTCGGGTTCGTCTGTGAGAACCTTCATGACAAGATGCATGATCAATCGGCAAGAGTGAAAATGATGTCAAAAAAGAAAAAAACTAGTGGGATTAAGAAAACCTGCGTACTATTAAGAAAAGATATAATTTTGGGTATTTATGTAGGAGAGCAAGTAGAAGTAAGTACTTGAGAAAGTCGACCAATTTTTGCTGCAACGCTTTTGATGTCTCCTCTTCAGTGTTAGCATCCAACAATAACTCGGGTAGTTTAACTGCAAATACCAAAAAATTACATCTCAAGTTGAGATCTTATGATGACCACCTCTTAATATAATAAAGACTTCAAAAGCATGAGAAACCACAAAATCAACAGCATGCTCAAGCATGATATGCATTTTTCAATACAATTCTATTTAGAAATACACCATTTGGTTACGTAGTAAAGTATGTCCATACCGAAGGGCCGTAATAGATGCTCGGCACCATAGACAGATGATGGAGAGACATCATCTGTGATTGCTTTCTCATACTGCTGACGTTCATTTTTGTACAAAAGCATTGCCGGTAGTGCTTTGTCAAAGTAACAACACAGTCCCTTCAGGATTTCTTCAACAGATTGAGCTTTCTTCCTGGATTCACATTAAGAATAGTCCATCAGCTAAAATCAAGTGCATATCTGCAAACTGGATTCTAGAAAATACAAAGGTTGAAAGTTGTGAATGTTGTAGGTCCAAATTAATTAAACTAGACCCCAAATTCCAGTTGATGGCCAACCAGTAGAATGTATGAGAAGCGTCATTGGTAAATCCTTGAGAAAATTAATTTACTCTCTCTCAAAAAAAAAAAAAAAAAAAAATCAAAATGGATAAACATTTTGTAAAATGGAACCCGATAAAAGAATTTTAAAAAATATAGGATGCCAAGGGATGGAAGAAAGGAAACTTACTTACTGTCCTTTGATCTGTAATCTAGATACTTCTTGAATATGTCATCCACATTTGGAGTACGTGGAAGTTTAACAAGCTGCAATAAAATATGGATATCGTTAACTGGGATTTCATCATGAATAAATCAAAGGTATAAATTCAGGTTTGAGTAATGAATTCAAAATACCTTGCCCAGATGAGTAATGAATTCGCAATCATCAACTAGTTGTTTCTTTAGTGTTTGTGGCATTTGAAGGACAAGATCTTCCATCGGTATGGCACCTTTGTCCTAAAATTTGAAATCAAAAGAAAAAAAACTGTAACATTCATGTTGGCCTCTAAATTAAGTACAAACTTCTGTATAGTGATGGCAAAATATCTGGAAGAGATAAGCCTGGATAGGAAATCTAAGGATGGTTTAGGACTTAGGAGACAAATGAACAGAGCATACCTTACAGACAGAGTCATTCTTTCGCTTCTTCCCTCTAGACGCTGCACATAATTTCATACCAACAGTAAGAACAATGCAGATTATATACACCTTCAAATTGCAAGAGAAGTTAATAAAACAGGATATATTTTCAGTACCTAACCTCTTGGCATCCTAATGAACGAAGAATGCATGTTGGTAAATTAGTTAACTACATTGTTACTTTTTCAGTATCCCATATCCATTACATTCACTCCTACGAAGGGTAACACTTATGACCGTTAAACCTCAAAGCTCGCCCAAAAATAGGATGGTTCATGTAACATACCAGAATTTCCACACCCTACATCTAACATTCAAGAATAAATCCAAACTTCATGATTGGGCAACAACAAAAGAAAAGTTAGAGATGATAAACCAACCATGATAACTTTTTGGTTTAGTATGCGCTGTGTGTGTAAGCTTCGCATTCTTGTCTGTTCCTTGTTTCTGGTTGAGGTACTGGTGTTTCTTCTTATTCTTGTCAGTGTTTTTCGTCAGACGATCCAACCGTGCCCACTCATCCCTACTGTTGAGAGCAAGAAAGAGAGAAAAGGTTAATAAGATAAATCAAATCAAAAGTTTCAAGAGATTTTAACCAATGAAAGCTTAAGCATTAGCCTTCATCTCCGATAAACCTCCGTCATCAGAATCAATTACAATATAATGGTCTCATAATAACATCTGCTGCGGTCTAATAAGCTAAGGTGAAAAGGACCACTTAAACTGAAGCGAAATGGCAAATGGTAACTGAAAAATGAAAAAACACACAAACTGAAGTAGGGCATGCTTCCAAATCCACCATCTTAAATCAATGAACATGAACCCAAAATTCGGAAACTTCAAGCAGGAAGGCGGGCTCACCTTTTGTTCCATCCCTGCAGGACAGAAGAACATACAATCAAGAAATGCAACCACACACAAATCAGACAGCATTTAACTTCCGAGAAAAGATACAAAATTTGAGCTTACAAATGAAATAATCACGCATTTAGTATGTTTGATCGAAGAAAATCCGAATTTATAGAACATTAGTGTTCATACTTACAGCGTAATGAACATAAAACTCCCAATCCATCTTATATCGGACATCGGTTACCTTGCAATCAAAACGCACAGCACGAGCGATCAATCAGCAAAAAGTTGCAATTGTTGTCACATTTCGGGAAACAAAGCACTAATAACCATACAGAAATACAATTCAATCGCCTGCAGAAAAGCGAGTACCTTGGCCTCGTACAGTCGTGCCTTGTGAAAGGCGAGGGCCTTCTCGCCCTCGGTAAAGGGGCAGGAATCGGGGGAAGGGGGCGAAGCGTCGTAGTTTTCGTCGTGGATCATGTCGGAATCGATCTTGATGGCGGAGCTGTCGGACTCGGTGGCGGACGAGTCAGTGTCAGTGATATGACTCTCCGCAGTCTTGGACTTGGAGTCTTTGCGTCTCATTTTATTATTATTCAGGGGCAATTTGTTTTGGCGCTAATGCTTTGCATCGAGAATTGTGAGTACATATAATGAGGTATTCGTGGAATTTGCGGAGTCAATAGCGCATGCAGATATGATCCGAAATATGGTAGGAAATGCTCTTGCATTCCAGGCTACGAAAAATGACTTATCACACTGATTGGCACTATGGTTGTGAGCCCGAATTTAACTTCAAAGGGTTCCAATACTCTCGCATTCCTTGGCAGACCGAGTTATAGTTGTTACCGTAAGACAACGTTGCTCAACGGACACAGGTCACCAAGCTTTTGGGGAGACTTGTACTTGAGAGTGCCAAAAACCCATGTGTTGTATTACCTAAAGTCCCAAGAACAGTATCAGTTAACCTGCTTAAGCAGAGTTGTTGGTCTAAATAGAAATTATGTGAAAAGCCGTGTAGCTGGTCCAGTGAATTTCCTGCTCTGGTTTGCAATTGGAGTTGGCGGGTTTGAGGTCGTTTGTGTCCTTTTGGTTTGGGGCTTGTTAAGTATTACTACCCGGCGAGATTCCAATGAGGATATATGCAGGGGTACATTCTTGCTGCATGGGTTCAAAAGATTCAGCTATGCCGAGCTCAAGAAGGCGACACGTGGTTTTAGTGAAGAGATTGGCAGGAGGAATAGTGTACAAAGGTGTATTGGCTGATCAAAGAGTTGCCGCGATTAAGCTACTTAACGGGGCTGATGAAGGAGAAGTTGAATTTCTAGGTGAAGCTAACACAGTTGGAAGGCTGAACCATATGTACTTGATTGACATGTCGGGATATTGCTCAGAGAAAAAGCACAGGCTTCTCGTTTACGAGTACATGGAGCGTCGTTCCTTGGCCAGGAAGTTGTCTTCCATTGTCCTTGATTGGGAGAAGAGGTTTGAGATTGCTGGCGGGACTATGAAAGGCCTTGCTTATCTGCACGAAGTGTGTGTTGGAGTGGGTTCTGCAGTGTTATGTTAAGCCTCAAAACATCCGCTTGGACTTAAAATTAAGAGCTTTTTGAGGATACTAGGAACGAGAGGCTACATTGCACCGGAATGGGTGTACAACCAGCCCATTACGTCGAAAGTGGATGTTTACAGCGATGGGATTGTTGTGTTGGAGATAGTGACTGGAAAGAACCCGACAATGGGCGTTGGTGGCATTGAGGGTGAGCAGAGAACTGGTTAATTGTGTAGAATTATCATAGAGACAGGCCATACGTTGTGTAGAATTATCAGAGAGACAGGTTTGTGAGGCTCACTTCCAACAACACTGATATTGTCCCCAACTTGGTAATTACCACATGCAAAATCCGTTAGATATGGGGTTTTATCACAAAAGGCTTCGGTATTAGTTGGAGTGAGATTAGGGTATTTAAACTATTCTTTTGTCATTGATATGGTCGACGTGGGACATTTCAACACGCCTCCTCACATGGGACCTAATTAGTGGGTCATACGTGGGAGATCCACACATCGACAACCACGTGGAGCGGAGTGGGATTAGGGTATTTAAACTATTCTTTTGTCATTGATATGGTCGACGTGGGACATTTCAACATGCCTCCTCACGTGGGACCCAATTAGTGGGTCATACGTGGGAGATCCACACATCGACAACCACGTGGAGCCAAGGGACCCACCGTCATCGTGTGGGGCTAAGGGGACCCACCCATCACGTGGCAATACGATACGTGGAGCCAAGGAACTTACCCACACATGGGGCCAAGGGACCCACCATCATCGCGTGGGGCCAAGGGGAACCACCCATCACGTGGTAATACGGTACGGGCTCGCTCCTTGGCTCTGATACCATGTAGAATTATCAGAGATGTGTCATACGGCTCACTTCCAACAACATCGATATTATCCCCAACTTAGTAATTACCACATGCACAATCCGTTAGTTGTGGAATTTTATCACAAAAGGCCTTGGTATTAGTTGAAGTGGGATTAGGGTATTTAAACTATTCTTTTGTAATTGATACGGATGTGGGACATTTCAACAAATTGGATGAGGGAGAAGGTTGATGGAAGTGGTGGGATTGGATCAAGGATGGAAGAGATCATAGACGGTTCATTTGGAGGGAATTAAAATGTGAGAAAGATGGAGATTCTGTTGGAAGTTGCTTTTCATTTTTTTTTTTTTTCATTTTAATAAAATTCAAATTAGATACGAATTGAATTTCTAATTTCTAATTTATAAAAAATAAAAATTGAAAATGAAATCGTAATCAATGACTCCTTTGTCATCGTGGACTGGTGAGATATGATTCATGAATGTGTGATTAATTGTTTTTCATGGCGGCATGGTTCTTGCAAGGACAGGTGTTTCTTAAGGTTAGGTTTCTTCATTTGACGGTCAAAAGCATGTATCATCCAGTCATCCTGAATGAAACAGAGCCGCCCTACACTTTGCAGATTCGGATAAAGTTTCCATAAACAATTTGATCCCAAGTGCCCTGGCGGCATACTTTACTCCTTGTTAGGAATACAATTGAATATATCTTCTCAACCATTTGCTATTTCGCCTCCACAACAAGGACGAAACTACGTGGTTTGGAGGAGAGTAACTTATATATTAAAGTATACTACCACATAACGTTTCGTATAAATAAAATGAAGTAATAAACAAAAAAATATATGCATTTTTATTTCATTGATACGAGACGTTACTATGGCAGTACACTCATGCCGTATATGTTTTCCATTTTCAGACTATCCCACAATGGTATACTCATACTGTATACGTCTTTCATTTTGAGAGTATCCCACATCAATGGATGAAAGTATAGTAATAGCAAACCAACCTATGTGCCTTGAGATAGTCTAGGTATTACAAATAAAACATACTTTTATTATTTTATGAAGAATTAATGTATGATTACATCATAGCTGAGCTGCATTACATTACAATTAAAATAAATTGTGCTTGTTTATGCAATATACCTAAAAACTGCATAAAAATATTTAGCTTAAACATAATGGAAAGAGTCAATGACTAGTTCGAATGGCAATGGCTGCTGCAATCAGTGTCCCGGACCGCTAGGTCCAGGACCAGAATTTTTTAATTTTTTATCTCTCCTAGGGTTTCCGACTCAGTGAACGCATGACCCTTTCCAGCGTCGCTCGGACCTTCATTCTTCATTGTTCCAATATACAATCCATCGAACACACTCTCCATCTCTTTGTCTATGTTCCCCAACTTAAGAGGACGAGCCTCCAACATACACGAAACCAAAGAGCTTACAACGAGAAGAACAACAAGGGAGGAGTACAAGGCTTTCAAACTTTTAGGCATCTGGAAGAAGAATATATCGCGAAATGATCGAAGATGGTTTGATCAGACTACGCTTCGGGTGTTTGAGATTTTTCGTTTGATCTGGTTTGGAAGAATAGAGTGGGGATTCGGGTGCTATAAATAGTAGTGTCCGAGTGCGTGGGGAGGAGGTGGGAAAGTGATTCATATTTTTGACTTGGGAAGGAAGAAATGACTGGGAAAGTGCATGGCTTTGTTCAAACTACACAAGGGTTGGTTCAAGGCTTGACAGATTCACTGGAGGACGTAATCTGATGGACTCGGATACAGCAAATCCAGTCCAAGTTCAGTTCGGAGTACTTAGATATTGAATATTAAATTTGCTTCGACCGGATAAAATGCTTGTTACTATATATATATATATATATATATATATATATATATATATATAGGGGTATGCTATTCACACACTCTATTTTATTTTTCACACACCCTTTGATAATTTATATCCGTTGATCTTCTTCAATTCATCTGATCTGACGGTCGAAAATTAAAAAAATATGTGTGAGAAATACAATAAGGCGTATGAATATCACACCCGTATATATATTTTATGATTTATCCGTTTTGTCTTTTGATTCCGCCCACAAATATTGATCCAAATTAGTTGTTTCTGAGTCGGCACACATGATTTGAGCTGGGTACCCCGGCCCAACTAAGTATATTGAAAAGGTACAAGAGCATAACTGATACAGTCAAGAGTATTTTGCACTCGATAATTTCTGTTTAATTTCTTCTCCACAGTTGGTCTTGAACGGAGGTGGACTAGAATTGATAATGGTCTGAATCGAATTTTATTAAATATTCGGTTTGTTGATGTGTCAAACTTTAAAGTCTCAATGAGCTATGGACATTGCTTGGCTCCTGCTATAGAAGGAGTCACTCATTCGTACAAATTATAGTTTAACACATGCATAATAACTTGTCAAATACACAATATAAATTGTTTTGTATATGTTTCAAATGTGTGATACGGTTTCACACTAAGTGAGATGCCCCTATCCAAAAAAAGAGGAAATTCTTACGAAATGATTTCTCTCAAAGAAATGAGCCAAACAGTCTACTTCATATTTGATCTGAATTTTTGAGTGGAGAAACATTTTCCACAATCAGATTTGAAGTATTTTCGGGTCAAAATTTCATGTCACAAGTAGAAGTCTATCCAAATAACAAACGAATTTGCCCGACGAAATTGAACAAATTTTCTATGTTTTACTTCTTTGTACAGCAAATGCATAGCAAGGATGTCAAAACTGGAGGAGAATGTATGTTTCCGTGGGAAGCTACAAACCAAAAAAACTGAAGAAACCTGGGAAATTACACAAAAGTAAGGTGGCGAGAGTTGAAATATTAGCACATGGAGTTAGGTGGCAAATCTTCATACGCTGCATACGAATTCCAAACGAGCATAATTCACAGTTGGTTCATAATTCAGAAGAGCAATGAGTAATGGAGTCTCGAAATTCTTGGTCCAAATGGGAAAAAAAATATTCATGGAAAGGTATGTCTTGCCAAACAGAAGACCAAGGAAAATATTTTTACTCGTCACTCACCACATTAGCTATCGCCTATCGTTAGATTGCATTGGTTAAATTTTGAGTTTTGTATGGTAAATAGAATAATTACACTGTTCTAACGAAAATCAATACAATGAAATTATTAATCACCGATTTAGGACGATGAGCAAAAGCACACTCATAGACCAAATGCAAAATGAAACTACAAGGGAAATAGAGAGTCTGACAAAAAGCTAATTTCAAGGAGACCAAAACTCTTGAAGTTTACAGGCCAAATAAAAAACAAAGGAGGAGGGGGGTGGGGGGGTGGTGTGGTTTAAGCAAGGGGACGACACAAAAAACCAAAACGGCAGTTCAGTTTACCAAC